ATTGGCTACTCGGTGACCCTATGAGTAGGGATTAATTGGCAAGTTAACTGGTTAATCGGATGAATTCTTGAACAGGGGTTTTAATGCCTACTTTTTTGACACATAGTGTACATTTTTCGTACACCTACAGCATTTGCTTATATATATATTTATCATTTTAAATACATAATTAGAATTTTCTTCATGTACTTGTCTTGAACACAAGTTGATACATTTTTATGATACAGAATATTACTGTTAAACTATGTGAAGATTTCTATACAGTGGATAAACCTATTTTTAATGTCACAACATTTTGTATGAAACACGTGAACATTTTTGTAAAATCTAACATACAATTTTAATGGTCTAAAACAACTGTTTTTCAATTACATGTATATTTTTTAACATTGTATAACACTTAAAAAATATGCCGCGTGCCGCCGGGTCACCGGGGCGCAGTCACTGTCCGCGGTGCAGTGGCTTCAGGGAGACGACCATGCTTATCATAACCATGCCCTGCAACCATGTTCGTCCTATAAATAAATTTTCTGGACTCGGCTGGAGAGGAGATGATTTTCTGGCTGGATTTACTGACCCAGCGTTTTGATTTTCGTTTTGTGATTTTTCTCGCCCTAGGCCGAGATGGCCGAATTTCGGTCGTTTTTAAAAATTTCGGCCGAAATTTGACCAAATTTTGACTGAAATTTGATTAAAATTTGACCAAAATTTCTCAAATTTGACCAATTTCGGCGGAAGATAGATTTCGCCCTAGGCCGAGATGGCCGAAATTCGGCCGAAATCCATTTTTTACGGCCGAAATTCAAAACCCTGTCTGACCACGAGGTATATGAGCGAGGCGACGGTGAAGGTCCAGAAGCAGCCGAGGAAGGCGTCAGCAACATAGGCTCCGACGATGGGCGTCATCCACACCGCCCCTGTCCAGTTGTTGACGCTGTGCACCGACCACACCATCTCCTGCCGCATCTATGGCGTCAGGTACACCACCAGGTTCGACACCACCCCGTATAACTCCATCCGCTTGAACGCGTCGTACCCTGCGCGTGCACGCGTGCGTTCATCAGGAAATCAGATCGATCGAAGGCCGGACGGACTCCGACGTGCATGTATGGGAAAATAATTCCGTACCTTGTAAAAAGGAGCACACCTTCCACTGGCCGGTCCGGGAGGCGACGATCGGTTGGCCGCGGAGGTCAACGGAGCCATCCTTGGTGAACTCCATTGGTGGTCGATCAAGCGACGTAAAGTGTCTCGTGGTGTGTCGAAATCGGCTTGGCTGGAGCAGAATAATTGGACCTTGATAAGTGATGCATGTGTGGCACGAAGCAATTTCGCAATTTTTTGATGGCAACTTTACTTATCCGGGGATGACAACTTGAGTTGTGAAGTATTCAACTTTCTGTTTAGATGACAAGTTTCAGTTTTTTTGGGGTTTCGTTTTCACAGTGTGACACTTATCAGTTGGAAAATAATTTAGTTTATGTATAGAAAGAGAGTGGCAGGTGGCTACTTGGTAGAGTGATCGCTACGGATGAGATGCACCACCAAGTCACCAACCTTGGGCCGGCTCGGTGGCGGGGTGTAGCCGTACCCTCTTGCTTTGATAGTGCAAATTACTTTTCGCTTACAAAAACATTAACAAAATTCCAATGCCAACACATACGGCGCTAGCATAGACAAGTTCAGCGCCGGAAAGATTGACGTTGAGCAAAAGGGTTAGATTTGGATACTATTCATGAGGGTTATCTCTTGGCCAATTTCCAAAAAATGGTTCATTTTGTCAGTTTCAAGTTTCGACGTGGCTCCATGTAACAGCCCGTAGGCAACGTTGCTGGGAATCATGCACGCCGAGAAAGAATGGGTCACGTCCTAAGGAGGGACCTACCTGCAAGTGAGTAGAATTAGTCACTGCTATATAGAGAGCTCCTGTTTATTGTTTTGGGCATCCGGTAGATCACCAATTCTATAACTAGGACCCTGGCAAGGGCGGCTCCTCTACCCCAAATCCTTCTTCCTTCTCTAATCTGTACCTTTGATTCCAGGAATCGATCCATCGAGAGAGTCGTTCCTTGCTGTGTTGAGATTGTTCCTTGTTACAAAGAGGACCGTAACACTCCATGTTTGCGTTCGTCCCCTGTTGGTACCACGTCATGGGTTTCAGCAGAGCAACACACCCTGGCGGTGGAGGGCCGAGTTCCTTCACGACCGGTGTCGTAGTCCTCAGGCATAGCTACCGGAGCTGGGCTTTATCAGTCGTCTAATCACCAGGATAGGCTCCACCGAAGACACAATGTCCAAACCTGCTGAATTAGGAGTGTGCTATAACCTTTCTTCCACTAATTTGGACTTAGGCGGAATGTTTTGTACATGCAAATTCAATATGGCATTAGTGTCAATATGTCTTGATTAAAGACTCTGGCCAACACATTATTCATAAAAAATAGTTATATCGACCCCATGTCTAAGGATTTAGTAAAGCCTAAACAAGGGGTACTAAAATATGTTGACGACCTTTCTTCATGAGTTTGGACCTTGTATGAATTGGCTACCGCATGTAATTTAACATGTTACCAGAGCCATCTCGAGTCCAGACCCAGGTAGGTTCATTACCACCAATAATGTGATGCGTGAGTGCTGATTCTTATCCAAGTCTTTTTCACACAAAGTGGGTAACATTATTTTGTAGATGATCAAAGGGGTAAAATCAACCACGATAGATGTAGCCAAGTCTTGTGGCGACAAGTGTTACTTCGAGGCTGGTCCCAGATAGAAAATTACCGGATGTCTTGGTGTAACAACATAAGATCACACATATTTTCCATCATGTTACTCGTTGTATCAAATATGAAAATTACCACGCTGAACTTGAGTAAGCCCCTGGATACTTGCAAGTTGTAACATACATCTAATAGTATGTACAATATGTTTTTTTTTTGCTAAAAGGATCAGATCTATTATAAAATTTCATCAGAAGTACAAAATATTTCAAATACAATAAACATTATATCGAGATTCCGGAACTATCGAACGACCACTACAGTGGTCAAAACAAGTCGCTGACGTGCCACTGTCGCCGCTCCCTGAGCCGGCTTGACCTTGTCGATGACAATCAGGAGTTTTCGTAGATGTGCCCCTAAGGACCAGCGTCCTGGAGCCGCTATCATCGCCGTTGAATCCTTGTATAGATCTGAAGCACACCAAATCTCGCCACATGGTGAGTAACCCTACCCTCATCGCCCCAAAGAGATGACAGGAATATACGCCGGAGCTCCATTGACTACGTCCAAATGAACAAACTCGAGGAGGATCGGAGCCTGAAAGACTAACTCGAATAAGAAGGCGGCCATCCCCCCGAGTGTTGCCCGCGAGGACTAAAAGAAACCTAATCTTAAACAATAACCTCCTCTCCGCCACCGGCCACTAGAGCGGCAGGCAAAGGGAAGGTGAACCCACGGTCTCACCGGTGAAGCCTGGAGGGAAGAGTTTGTTCTAGCCTCCTAGAGTTAGGGGAGGAAGACTAGAGGAAGTCTAGTATGTTGTTCTGAAACTACCTAGTCAGATGAGCACCACCATATTTGGCATGCGCACGTGCGGTATGTGCAAATGCTATTCACTAGGCTAGATCGTAAGTTCCATTGGCATTGTTCGTGTGAACTTCTAAATGTTGTTTTCATTAAAATACCATTTGTTGTGGAAAGAGGGGAATGTGTAAAGTATCATACCGTGTTGCGTGAGTGCTGATTCTGATCGAAGCTTTATGTAACCAAAGTAGGTCATTTTTATTCTCAAAAAAAGAAAGTAGGTCACTTGTTGAGGGGAGCACGGTGTTTCTTATGGTTGGAGTTAAGTGGAGTCATCCACATGAAGCAAATCTTGTTGCCATGTGTCGTGAACTCATGTTGGAATCCAATCATTATGCGGATATGCATTATGTGCCTCCGTCTTATTACTCGTCCATTTACAAAGTTCATGTGTGCAGTGGACTATGAGATGTAACATACTGTATAATACAGCATAAAAGGTGCTACACCACCTACAAATTTAGATCATACAGACGTGACCTCACTGAATTTTGCTTTAAAAAAGAACCAAAACTATCTCTGGCGATTACTGGTCTAGCTCTTGGGGGGGAGGGCTGCGCCAAATAGGAGCGCACGTTCATCCGATATTCCAACCGCGACGGCTATGGGTTCGAGTACCGATGAGGAAAAGATAACGTGTCGCTTCTTAAAACGTGTATGTCCCATGGAGTAAACACAAAGAGTGAAGAAAGCTAGTGGCAGGTAGGACATGCCATGGAAAAGGGGGAAGAAGATTGAAATTATAATCGGCCGCCACGCGTGTTTCTTCCATGCATCAACATCATCCTGCGTGCCGGTGCTTTTTGCGGCCATCGTCAGGTCGATGATGCAAGCGGTGCCTGGCATCGGTCGCTCCTTGAGTTCAACTTCTTCATACCCACTTGTACTTTTTTAGCATAAGAAGAGACTACCTTTCCAATTTCTCTACTACTACTACTACTACTACTACTACTACTACTACTACTACTACTAATACTACTATACTACTTAAAAAGAATGTAAAGTTTTATATTTTATCTTTTTACCTAACATACATTCGTCCAACATTCTTCATATGATAATCAATCATGTTAATTTACTTACCTTTGGAATTAATTTCACTCTAATTTACTTTTCAAATTTCTTGTTGAACTATTTTCATCATCCTAAAATAAATGTCTTAACTTTATACCAACTGTAGTACAAAGTTGTACTAAACTTGGGACACTTATTTTGGGACGAAGGGAGTATAAGATGAATCACCGACATAATTTGATATACATCTATTTGCATAATCACATTAACATGAGTAGGTAAATCACAAACTAACATATTAGACTATTTATATCGGTTGGAATGCAATTATGTCAGTCTATTAAAGAAACCTTTTGTAAAGCCAAGGGATCTCGGCCCTTACAAGTTCGGAGCTAGAGCGGAACCATGCCGATCATGCAAGCGCTGGGGCGGAGCACGGGGCCAGTCCACGTGGCGCGGCGCCTGCTGAGCAGCCGCGCGTTGTCGCTGTCACCGCCCGCCTCCCCGCAGCCACGCTACGGGAGCATCATCACCGTTCTGAGCATCGACGGCGGCGGTGTCCGAGGGATCATTCCAGGCACCATCCTCGCTTTCCTCGAAGAGAAGCTCCAGGTTAGTAATAACTAAGTTTTCCAGATAATTTAGGCAATCATCCTGCTTGCACTTGCACGCATCCATCGTTATATATGGTGTGATGAGCAGTTGTTGGGGGTGCTTGCGTAGGAGCTTGATGGGCCGGACGCAAGGATCGCGGACTACTTCGACGTGGTCGCAGGGACGAGCACCGGAGGCCTGGTGGCCACCATGCCCAACCCCAAGGGCCGCCCGCTCTTTGCCGCCAAGGACATCAACAAGTTTTACCTCGAGCACTGCCCGAATATCTTCCCTGCCATCTGGTGAGGAGATGATTACTGTATGCATACTTTTAAATAGCGCGCTATCACGCAGAAATGCGAACTAGTGCTCGCGGTGCTATAGCCTTTGGAGAAGCATCATGCTAATCCATTTAACTTCATTTCACACCATTTGTCATGCTATAGTGTCAACTTACCGCGCTAATGCTTCGGTCGCTATTCGCCCTTCTATTTAGAAGTTGAACTACTACTCTGTGAACACATATAAGACGACTTATATTTGTTTACAGAGGGAGTACATGACAGGCGGCCTCGTGCAACTACGCTCAGTGAAAGTACTCATGAGCTATTTACAATCTGTTCTGCAGCAAAGGGCCTATGGGTTGGCTCAGGAGCATGATGGGGCCCAAGTACAACGGCCAGCACTTGCACTCGGTCGTGAAGGAGCTGCTCGGCGACACGCGAGTCCATCAGACTCTCAAGAACATCGTCATCCCCACTTTTGACATCAAGCTCCTCCAGCCTACCATCTTCTCAACCTATGATGTACGTACGTAGAAGAGCACAAACAGATCCATAGTGGCATGTCATTCAAATTCAATTATTTTGGTTGCCATTGTTTTTACATAGCTAATAAAGTACGATTGTGTACATCAAGCGATGCAGTGACCGGAGGTTTATCTGTCTTTCAAAATAATAATAATATTAATAACATATATATGAAACGAAATTTGTACAGGCCATGAGTGTGAAGATTGAGGCTGAAGCATATGCCGCTAAGCAGGGACGCGTACGTGTTATATAGAGGAAAAGAGATTACAAGCGGTAGGCGGTTAGGGCTGTGGATTGATCTACAAGAAACTAGCTAGGCAATCTCAACAGCCCAACCGATCCTACCTTCGGATATACACAACACGTACGCTACAAACGGTTTATACAACACCGCATAATACAACGCTTAACACTACCCCTCAATCATAACTTATCTAAGTTATGATTGTGTCGAAAAGCTTCTAGCTGCCTCAAAGAAAGGGGTTTAGTAAACCCATCTGCAACCTGATCGCCTGTAGGCACAAACCGAACTTTGAGTAGTTTATTTGCTACCCGTTCGCGAACAAAGTGATAGTCGATCTCTATATGCTTTGTTCGAGCATGAAAAACAGGATTAGCAGTCAAATACGTGGCACCAAGATTGTCACACCAAAGTGACGCAGCTCGAGGATGAGGGAGACCCAACTCTGTCAACATATTCTGCACCCAAATTACCTCTGCAGTGGCATTAGCTAGGCTTTGTACTCAGCTTTTGTGCTGGACCTGGAAACAGTAGCTTGCTTGCGAGCACTCCAGGACACTAAGTTGCTTCCAAGAAAGACTGCAAATCCACCTGTGGAGCGTTCTATCATCAGGGCAGCCTGCCCAATCAGCATCAGAAAAAGCACTAACAAGCATGGAATCGGATTTGCAAAGTTTGAGGCCAAGGCCTGGCGTCCCTTGAAGATATCTGAGGATCCTTTTTACTGCAGTCCAATGAACAGAAGTAGGAGCATGTAAAAATTGACAGACCTTATTAACTGCATAGGAGATATCAGGCCGAGTCAAGGTAAGATACTGCAGTGCTCCCACCACACTCCTGTACCGAGTGGAGTCATCTGACGTAGGAGGTTCTCCATCATGAAGTGACAACTTCTCAGTGAGAGCCAGAGGTGTAGATGAAGGTTTGCAACCTTTCATCCCAATGCGCTGAAGGATTTCTTGGACATACTTTTCCTGTGACAACAAAATACCACTTGCAACCGGCTTAACTTGAATGCCAAGAAAACGATGCAGAGACCCTAGATCTTTGAGTGCAAAGTCCATGTGTAAGTCCTTAAGAAGGGACTCAACTGCTGAAGGAGAGGAGCTAGTAACAACAATATCATCAACATAAATAAGCATGAAGATAATAATGCCATGCCGACGATAGAAGAACAACAAGGTATCCCCTTTGGATGCAACAAAATCAAGGGACTGCAACTTGGAATATAACCGAGAGTACCAAGCTCAGGGTGCCTGTTTCAAACCATATAGAGCTTTGTCAAGCTTGCAAACATAATGTGGTGATCTTGAACTTTCATACCCAGGAGGTTGCCTCATAAAAACTTCCTCTTCCAAAACACCATGCAAAAACGCGTTCTTAACATCTAGTTGTCGAATGCACCAGTTTCTAGAGACTGCAATGGAGAGAATTAACCGGATGGTGGCAGCCTTTACTACTGGACTAAAAGTGTCCTCATAGTCAAGTCCATACATTTGCTTGAAACTTTTGGCAACCAAACGAGCCTTGTACCTGTCAATGGTGCCGTCAGATCTCCGCTTTATTTTATACACCCATTTGCAGCCAATGACATTGCTATCCCTGACTGGTGGAACCAAATGCCAGGTTTTGTTGTCCATGAGTGCAAAGTATTCCTCATCCATGGCCTTTTCCACCTTGGATCACCAAGTGCTTCACGTACATTCGTTGGTTCACCTGCAGCACAAAAAGAGCCCCAACGAACACATCCATCCTTATACACTTTAGGTTTGACAATACCACTTTGTGACCTGGTTTGTGAGCGCACAGGAGGAGGCGGCGCAGGTTGATCAGCGCTAATTTGCAGCCGGTTTTGTGAAGCAGAAGTTGCAGAATCAGTAGTATCCGCAGAAGATCCCGAGCCGACCGCAGCCGATCCCGAGGCAGATCCCTGGGACGGGTCAGCGAGATGCAGCGCGGCGTCCCGTGGCGAACTGCCAGGTGGCAGATCCGGGCTGGTTGCGGGAGAGCGCGACCGCGGGGAAGCATCCGAGGCAGCGCCCGAGCCGCCACATGGGGCCGCAGAACGAGGAAGGGGCCCACCTGGCCGACCGGGAGCGCGTGGAGCTGGCCCGCCTGGTCCAAACGCGCGTGGAGCGAGCCCGCCTGAGGTGGCTGCGGATGACGGGCGACCGGGGGACAGCGCGCCAGAGGGCCCGCCTGGCCACCCGCCTATTGCATCTGGCGGGGCGGATCCCGGAGCGGATCGCGCTGCGGTTGCGTCAGGGGGTGATCCCGAGGAGATACTCCCGCCCAAATCTTCTCCAGGAGCTGCGTTCGGATCCTCTGCGGCAGGAGATCCCGACTGCATAAAATTAGGGTTATTTTTTGCTGTTTCTTCACTGATTTCGTGACCTGTTGCCTGCACACTGTCAGCAGAATAATCATCAAGAGTATTAGATACAGACATAGGGCCAGCAGCGGTGTCCACTCCTTGGAGATAATTAGGTGGCAAAAGATGAGGAGGTAAAAGGACAAGTTCTTTCCGAAGTTGCGCACCGGCATTGGAATGGAGTTTGGCGAAGGGAAAGACTTGTTCGTGGAAAACAACGTCACGGGAGATGTAGACACGCCCGGAAGAGATATCAAGGCATTTGTACCCCTTGTGAAGACTACTATAGCCCAAAAAAGCACACTGCTTAGAGCGAAACTCGAGCTTGTGCTTGTTGAAAGGACGTAGGTTGGGCCACACAGTACACCCAAAAATGCGAAGGAATGTATAGTCTGGTTTGGTTCCAAAGAGACGTTCTAGAGGAGTTTGATTTTTAATGACACAACTAGAAACACGATTGATAAGGTAGACAGCTGTGAGGAATGCTTCGTCCCAAAACTTAAGTGGCATGAATGCATGGGCTAAAAGGGAGAGACCAACATCCACAATGTGTCTGTGTTTTCTTTCTGCAGCTCCATTCTGTTGATGGGCATGAGGGCAAGAGACATGGTGAGTAATACATATGCGCTCAAAAAATGGGTTGAGCTTTTGGTATTCACCTCTCCAGTCTGTTTGCATAGCTAGAATTTTACGATTGAAAAGGCGTTCAACATGAGCTTGAAAGGAGTGAAATTTCTCAAACACATCAGATTTATTTTTGAGCAAATAGATCCAACTAAACTTGCTGAAATCATCAATAAAACTGACATAGTACTTTTGCCTGCCTATAGAGACGGGTCCAGGACCCCAAACATCTGAATAAATAAGCTCTAAAGGAGCTTTGGACTCACTGTTCGAACGGGGATAAGGTAGCTGATGGCTCTTGGCCATCTGACATGCATCGCAAACCAAAAGATGGTCTTGTTTATTTGACATAGGAAGATGAAAGTCTCTGAGAATTTTCTGGACTACCGGAAGGGAAGGATGCCCTAGACGCTTGTGCCACCGAGATGTGGATGGTGTCGATGCTGCAAGCACTTGACGTTGAGGAGCACCTTGCCGACCAGTAACAGGGAACAAACGCCATTTACTCTTGTTTTGAAGAATGGTTCTCCGGGTAGCCTGATCCTTGACAAGAAAAGTTTCAGGGTGAAGTTCAATAAACACATTGTTATCTTTCATAAGTTGATAAGCAGAAAGGATACTTTGTTCGGCACTAGGGACACGAAGGATATTGTTTAAGTTCAACGAGCCAGAGGGAGTGGACAAAACTGAATGGCCAATATGTGCAATATCCATACCTTGACCGCTAGCGGTGTGGATCTGTTCATTGCCAGTGTAACGATCACGGATGGCCAGTTTCTCTAACTCGCCGGTGATGTGATCTGTAGCGCCAGTGTCGAGATACCAGTTGGTATCCACGCCATAGGAGTGAGCTGCATTGGCAGCGCGAGGTTGGCCGCCATTGCCACCACCGCCGCCGCCGTTGTTGCCGCGGCCACCACCACCAGCCGGGTTGCAGACGTTGTTGTTGTAGCCCTTGTCATACCGCTTTCTGCAGCGCCACGCCCCATGGCCCTCCTCCTTGCAGATCTGACAGCGTTCGCGATCACCGCGGTCACCACCCTGGTTGCACGGCGAACCACCAGAGGAGCCACCACCGGAGTTGTCGTTGTAGCGTGGTGGCCCGGAGTTGTTGTTGTAGCCGCCACGTCCACCTCCGCCGCCACTACTGCCGCCTCCACGGCTGTAGTTGCCGCCACGGCCGCCGCCGCGCGGCGCGAGATTGGCGGAGTGATTCGGCGAGAACGTTGCCTGCTGAGCAGCGATGCGACCTTCAGCCGCCAGGAGCAACGAGAAGAGCTCCGTGAGCCCGATCGGTTGGTCCATGGCGGCGCGCGTGGAGATTGCTGAAACAAAACCGTTGTAGTCCGGTTCATGCACCAGGCCCTGAAGAATCTGATCGACAAGATCATCTTCTCCAAGGGGCTTCCCGGCAGCTGCGAGCTCGTTAGCAATGCCCTTCATCTTGGTGAAGTAGGCTGCTGCCGACATGTCCCCCTTGCGCGTGTTACCTAGGGCAGACAGAAGCTGGAGAGTTCGTGCCCTAGATTGCGATGAGAAGCTTTGCACCAGGGCTTGCTAGATGCCAGCAGAAGTAGTATGGTTCGAAACTTGCATGAGAACATCACAAGACAGAGATGCGATCAAGAACGTAAGCACCTGTTGATCATGTGTCTCCCAGACGGCGTGCTCGGGGTTCGGCGTGGAGACGGTTTCCTTCTTCCCGTCGGCGAGGTCCCTCTCGGTGAGAAGAACGGCGGCTGGCTCCTTGCGTGATCCATCAAGGTAGCCCATCATGCCTGCGGCTTTGATGTGCGGCAGGACTTGCGCCTTCCACACCAGGAAGTTCTCCCTGGTCAGTTTCTCTGTGATCGTGTGACCAAGGGATGCGAGGGAGTGGGAGGCCATGGCGACGGGGGAGGAGGAGGATGACATGACCTAGATGCGTTGGAAGGGTTTGGCTCTGTATACCATGTGAAGATTGAGGCTGAAGCGTATGCCGCTAAGCAGGGACGCGTACGTGTTATATAGAGGAAAAGAGATTACAAGCGGTAGGCGGTTAGGGCTGTGGATTGATCTACAAAAAACTAGCTAGGCAATCTCAACAGCCCAACCGATCCTACCTTCGGATATACACAACACGTATGCTACAAACGGTTTATACAACATCGCATAATACAACGCTTAACAATGAGGGATATCTCCAAGAATGCTCTTCTGTCGGACGTCTGCATTAGCTCGTCCGCCCCGCCGACCTACCTCCCCGGCCACCATTTTGAGACCAAGGACAAAGACGGCAAGACCCGGGCCTTCAACCTAATCGATGGAGGCGTCGTGGCTAACAATCCGGTAACTCGTGAGCACTCACACGGCAAGCCAGCTTGATGGGAGCTTGCTAACATAATTTTGATCTGTACTAGCTAACTTATGTGATGATGATGTGTGCCTCACTAACTTATATGGACGTGCATGCGCAGAAGCTGCTGGCGATGACCCACGTAAGCAAGCAGATCCTGATGGGAAACCTGGACTTCTTCCCCGTCAAGCCAACGGGTTACGGCAAGTTCATGATCCTTTCGCTAGGCACCGGCACCGCTAAGATCGAAGAGAAGTTTGACGCAGCTGAGTGCGGCAAGTGGGGCCTTCTCGGGTGGCTCTACAAGAGGGGTGCCACACCGATCATCGATAGCTTCAGCGAAGCTAGTGCCGACCTCGTTGACATCCAAGCATCCATTGTCTTTCAGACCCTGCACTGCAACAAGCGTTATCTCCGGATCCAGTACGACGAGCTCACCGGCGAAATGGCCTCCATTGACGTGTCCACATCGAAGAACCTCAACGGGCTTGTTGGCGTTGGCAAAGCGTTGCTAAAGAGACAGGTGTGTAAGATGAACGTCGAGACAGGCATGAACGAGCCCGATCTAAAGAGGGGCACCAACGAGGAGGAACTAGTCCATTTTGCCCGCATGTTGTCGGAAGAGCGCGAAACTCGGAAGGTGGGCTACAAACTTGGATAGTATGAATATTTGCCTCTGTCTATATTTGATGACCCTTGCATGTTGGATATTTATGTGGCTTTCGAGATTTGTTCAGATGGTTATTGTCTAATCTGGAATTATTCATATAATTAACTCGACAAAAAGAAGGTGGAATTATTTTTTTAGGGAAAGGGCAAGTGTACTGCCAATGCATTTCAGAGGAGAGGCAGAAAAAGTGTCAGTTACAGGTTACAAAGCGTGTAATCGGGGTTCCCGACGCCCGCGAAGGAAATAAAATGGTTAAAGGTGGAATTTTACTTAAGGAAGTAATACTCGTGGTTTCGAGGACGGTTGTGCTTTTCAGAGCAGTACATGGCGGAAGAGTTTTTCTTTTTGCAGGTTGTTAACCCACGTGTTTAGATTGGAAATTGGCCACACGTGCACACTCTAATTATATATGCTAGGAATATATTTTCAGTCTCAGCCTGCATGGCAAGGTCGCAGGCACGGAAGACGCGGTTGCAGACATGGGAGGCATGGTCGCAGACACGGGAGGCACGATACGACACGGCGGCCTCGACGACAGCGATGACGTCCTTGCCGCCGTGCTCCCCGCCGTGCCGGCGTGGAGCAACTTGCCACTCCTCATCAAGAGGATCTGGAGCAGCGAGTTGCTGAACCACGCGCCGGCTTGGGACTGCAACTTGCTTGTATCCGGCGGGCTTGATGGACTACCAGCCGACTTGTATGCCAAAGAACGGCTCTCTGGAAGCCATCAGAAGAGCGGTGAAGGAGGAGATGGGGGCGACGGAGGGGTGCGATTCTTGCCCGGCGTCTGGCCTCACTTAAATAGAGGGCGGACGAGAGGTGCTCAGCCTGCATTGCGTTTAATGCCAGCCCGCTCATGAGTGGACGTGTGGCCGGAGTAGGTTTCTCGGCTCCCACGCGTGTTTAATGGAGGCATATGAATGCGGCGAGGAGGCATGTTCAGCTGGGTGTGCAGCGGGCGGCGCCCTCGGCCGGCGAGCCACTTCAATGGCATAGCCAGTGAGAGGTCGCGTCCGTCCTGAGCCGCCTTCAATGCAGAGCGGTGCGCTCTACAGCGGCATGAATGCGGGACGCTAGCGCTAGGCAAGATGCGCGCACGAGGGGGAAGGTTTTTTGGTGGGCCACGGCGGTCAGAAACGGGCTTGGGATCGGTCCGGACTCCCGCAAACCTCCCCCATTTTTTCCGCTTTGCGGGAGAAATCGCATCCGGACCGCCCCGCGGACCTATACAGGTCAACCTTGGATGGTTTACGCGGTCCGGACAGTGCATTCCGGGTGGTTGCGGATGGGCGTTGGAGATACCCTTAATACACTACTCCCTCCGTCCCATAATGTAAGACTTTTTTGACACTACATCCATAATGTAAAACGTTTTTTGACATTACACTAGTGTCAAAAAATGTCTTACATTATAGGACGACGGGGAGTACTTTCTAGCCCACATAATTGAATTGTGCATGTGAGATCATTTCCAGTCAAATCACGTGGGTTAACAGCGTGCAGAGTTGATTTTGCAAAACAAAACCAACTCTTTCGCCATATATACTGCTCTAAAAATACACATACTTACATATAAAATACTCAATTTGCATGTGTTTATTCTCTATTCAATTCTAGCATGACCATCTTCGGCACCTTAAGAGTATCTCCAGCCGTTGGCCCCCCAGGGGGCGCCTAAAATCGCCACCTGAGGGTGCCCCGGCGCAAAAAATGGGCCTGTGACGAGTTGGTCCCCAGCCGCCGCCCCAGGGCCGCCCCCAGGCCCGTTCAAAAAATTAAAAAATATAGCAAATTTAGCCAAAGTTCGGCGAAATTCAGCTAAACACGACAAATTTCAGCAAACTTGGGCATATACTCCCTCCGTCCGAAAATACTTGTCATCAAAATGGATAAGATGGGATGTATCTAGAACTGAAATACATCTAGATACATCCTCTTTTATTCATTTTGATGACAAATATTTCCGGACGGAGGGAGTATTAGACATGTTCGCGGATTTTCATTACATGCATAGTAAAACTAATCTAAAGAAAAAACTGGCTGAACGCCGAGTAGTCGGCGTCATCGCCGCTATCGTCGGCCTTCTCCTCTTTGACGCGGGCGCCCCTGCTGGACCCCTCCCCGGCGTCGCCATGGCGGACTGGTGGCGGTGGCGGCGCGTCGTCGTCGTCGCTGTCGTCGATGATGACGACTCCTCCTTCGTCGCGGCCTCGGCGGCGCTGCGCGAAGCGCCGCAGGGTGGCGCACTGGCGCTCCCTCGCCATCTTCAGGAAGTCCTGGCGTGCCCATTCAAGGGCCGCGTCGTCGTCGAGCTCGACCTCGCCGTGCTCACTCTTCACCGGCACCAGCCCCGGCTCCGTCTTCACTGGCGTGAGCCCCGACTCCGTCTTTGGCTTGACGAAGCGCGGAGGAGGAACTGACGAGGAGGCGCGCCGGCCGCCCTCGTTGATGACGATGCCGGCGCTGCGAGTGCGCCGGCCGAGCGGCGTCTCCGCCGCGGGCTCAGCCTCGAGGTGCGTCAGCACGCCCTCAAGTGTGCAGCCGGGGGCGCCCCTCGCTGTTCTTCAGGCCGCCGACCACCGGTGCGTCGTTCGTGGACGCCAGCCGCTGCTGCTGACGACGCTCGAAGTATGCCGCCCAAGCCGCGTAGTTGTCGGCGGCGTACTGTGGGAGGGAGAGCTGGGCGTCGGTGAGGGAGGCGCGCACGACCTCGACCTCGTCGGCGAAGTATGAGGGTTTGGCCACGGTGTCGGGTAACGGGGGAATGGGCACTCCCCCGTTGCCGAGCCTCCAGCCCGTCGGCCCGGTGCGCATATTCGACGGTGCCGGGATGTTCGCCTGGAACAGGAGCCATGACTCCTGTTCGCGGAGCGAGCGGCGGCCGAAGCCGTTGGCCGCCGCCTCGTCTCCGAGGAAACGCTCGGCCATCGGGAAAGGGGAGGGAGATGGAGGGGCTGGGCGGCGGCTCACAGGAGAGGGAGGGCTGGGGGAGAGCTCGGTGGCGGCGCTCGGGAGAGGTAGCGCTCACACAGAGGCGAGCGAGGCCATATATAGCCGCGCCGCGCCCGTGTGTACGCGTTCGAGGGAGGGGAGGCGTCGACGCGCCGTCCCGTGACGCGTCTCCCGTGAGGAATCAATGGCAAAGCTGACCGGCGGCAGCCTTGCCATTGATTCCCCGCGGGAAACCAAGGCGTTGGGAGAAGACGAGGCGGTCTCGCTGACGCGGCTGGCCCGCGGCTCTTTCGCGCCCAAAACGGTTTGCTCGGCGCCCCCGAGCTACCTCCAGCGCGCCGGGTTCGGGTTGGGTCCGCCGGCGCCAATTTCGGCCCGAGCCGGCAAAAAATGGGCCCTTGGGGGCGCGACTGAGCCGATTTTTTGACGCCGGCGGCCGAAAAGTCGCCTGGGGGACCTTGTTGGGGGCGCGGCTAGAGATGCTCTAAGTACTACTTCCTCGAGTAAAATTCCACCTTCTTTTCCTCGAGTTAATAATATGAATGATTCCATATTATATATGTTAATCATATGAATAATGCCACATTGGACAATAAATATATGAAGTAATGTTGAAAGCCATATAAATATCCATCAGGCATACATACGTCGTAAAATCCAAACAGGGGCAAATACTCAAACTATCCACCAAGTTCGTTGGCCTACTTTTGAAATCTGGCTTTGCGCTCTTCCGACAGCATGCGAGCAAAACGGGCCAGTTCCTCCTCGTTAGTGCCCCTTTTTAGATTGGGCTCGTTCTTGCCGGTCTCGACGTTCACCATGCACACCTGCCTCTTTAGCAGCGCCTCGCCGACACCAATGAGCCCGTTGAGGTTCTTTGATGTGGACACATCAACGGAGGCCATGTCGCCGATAAGCTTGTTCTGCTGGATCCGGAGGTAGTGCTTGTTGCAGTGTAGTGCCTGAAAGAGCACAGATGCCTGGATATCAACAAGGTCGGCGCTGGCCTCGCTGAAGCTGTCAATGATCGGCGTGGCTGTTCGCACACGAACACGTCACCGTGTACCCTCGACGCCGGGGGTGATACACGGCAGCTCACGTCGAAGGAGACCCACCGGAAGCGCAGTACGCAGGACAATCCGGCGGGCGCTTTTGTAGACCCGAAATCCCACACGCCCGGGAGGGACCCCGTCAGGACGCGCGGCGGCTATGGGTTGCCCTAAGTCGGCCTGACCGCCCCTAGGGCCTCGAGGTTCGCCACCCTGAAATGAATAAGAATGAACGAAGAACGAGGAAGAAGAAGAACGAGGAAGAAGAAGAACAAGGGAGAAGGAAAAGTAAAGGTAAAAGATGTAGATAGATTTGTTCGATTTTGTGTTGTTCAATCGACCGTCACCTCTCATCTATTTATGAGGCGGCTGGACTTCCCGTACAAGAAAAGGACTAAAAAGTCCATCCAAAACGTCAAAAACCCTAACCTAACTCGGACAGGAATCTTTGGCAATTTCTCGGACCAACTTGGTCTCACCGATTGGTTCATTTCGGTCCTACCGAGTCAACATTGCAAACTCTCTGGTAAATTTTCGGACCAACTCGGTCTCACCGATCAAATCAACTCGGTCGGTCCGAAATGACGCTGCAGCTTCTGTTTCTGACCTTATTTTGTCTTCACAGGTTGCATACGACCTCGGATTAAGACGATTTTTATATCAGAATTGTCCGTTTCAACGAGACGAAGAACTTTGTAGTTGTAACTTTTTCCATCCGAGGCCTTCTTAATTAAGTTCCATGCCATTCTTTAATCAGGTGTCAACACAGGTATCTCCGGAATTGTCATATCTTTTGCACTTGAGCTCCGTTTGATCCATCTTCATATTTATTTTGATCATCTTGATGAGGCCCATCAAATGGTGACATGAACTCATAATTTTAACCTCATTTCATTATAGACTCAAGTCACTCTTTGCGATCATGCCATTTTTGAGCGTCAACACATGCCCCCATGTTTTTGGGCAAAAGTAGCATGCCGAAAAATAACTTGTACTGTGCTGGTTCTAAGGACGATGTCAACACTCCATCGGCCACTTTGCATGTGCTTGGGCGATAAATATATATCGGCCATTATTTTTTTGAATCCTTGATGCAAAATTGGATGAAACCTTTCAACTTCCTTAACAATCCGATGATAAAGCTCCATAGATATGTATCTCAAGGTCATCCTCTGAATCATATTGTTCACCCTTTTGATAGGATTTTGCAGATAATCAACAATAAACTTTCTCCAATCCTTACTTTCGCCTTCGGCTTAATTGTTTGTTGCTTTCATTATTTTCCTTCTCCACTTTTATTATACTTGTTGCAATAGAAGCATGCACATCATTTTTGTCTTGATTGATTTTCTTGGGAACCCATGCCATGTTCTTCTTTTTCAGCTCCTGTGCACTAAGATTTTGTAAATTCTTTTTTTGCCAATATGATAAGCCGAGTGGGCATCTCGGCTGTGATTCTGTTTTGACCAATGGCAATTTTTTTTGGCTTTGTGCACTCTCAACTTCTTTTCTTCAGATTTGGCACTCTAATTTTTATCAATTGATTGCTTCACTTCTTTGCCTTTTGTAACCAATGTCAACACTTTAATTGGCTCTTTGTTATTTGAGATCAAATTTGAAGCAGCACACTTACGACCATCTCTTTTCACTCGGTAAACTTGCTTTACCACCTCTTTCTTCTTCCTTGAGCTCTGGACCGATTCCTTATGATTGATACGGTCTTTGACGCGTGATTGTTCAAATGTTGATCTCCTTGGAGCTGCATAGTATTGGTGAGATGGTCTAGAATAAGATGGAGAATGTGCCCTTGTATCATACCTGTCCCATGATGAATATGTATCTATATGAGCATAGGAAGGCATCCACGGCATTGGCATTGGTGGCCCAAAATAAGGATGTGAATATGTTGCATTAAAATTATCACTTTGGCAATACCAATCCTCATATTTGCGCCTTGGGGGTGATCTTGGTTTCTTTGCATGATTTGGCCGATAAGCATTCTTCTCTTCACTCTTCTTTTGATATTTATCCAATAATTCAGCGAAGGTGATTTTGATCTCTTACACTTGCGCTTATTCTGGCCTTTGTTTTCTTTTGGTTTGCTTTCATCGATCTTTGGATTTGCTTGCTGCCCCCCAGTCCTTGGCGTCTCCATTGTAGCTTCGATGGAACTCTCGCCCTCAAGATTATGCTCGTTATGCTCTTCAACAACTTCTTTACTTGAAAGCCTGATCCCATCATCTACAGCTTTTACATTCTCTTTAAATGGATCGGCTTGAAGCAGTCGATGCAAAAACTTTTTGCCATCGGGACCAATCAGAATAGACTGGTCATCTCTTGGTGTTTCAACAAACTTCAATCGTCCTTTTTCAATGAACGATTTAACTATTTGACGAAACATATTGCAATCCTCAAAACTATGCTTGAACGAATCATGCAACTTACAATACATTCGTCCTTGGATTGATGGCTTGACATGGTGATCAAGAATTCTTATGTAATTATTTTTAGCAACAAATCAAATATTTGATCACACAATCTTGAATCGAAGGTATACCTTTTGTTTTCTAGCCAATCTTTTTGTGAGAATGACTTTGGAGTTAAGCAAACGAATGGTTCAGATTTGGCATCTTCCCATTCGGCTATGAATTCTCTTTCGCATTCATTTTCCGATGTCCTTACATAAGAAACTATACTAGCATCAGTTTTCCCAAAAGATTTTAACCTTGGCTTTAAATTTCTGAAACGAAGATATTTAGAACATACATGTCTCAGTTGAGACCAAGCCAAGTACAAAATAAGCAAAGCTACCCAACTAGATATGAACTTTAGACAAAGAAACACGAAAAGCTTTGGCTTTAACAATAAGTCATTATCGGTCTTTATAAATGGCAAATGGGTTGACCGATATGTTCCGTAACAATTTTATTGCTAACAAGTAAATTACTCTTCTTCATTGGTCTTTCAAAATTACTTATCAGGATTTTTCTAATAGATGCATCAACAATAAAGTTCTGACCAAATATGAAAATAGGTAAATTACTCGCTATGCATACCTCTTCAAATATGTTGGGAGAGCATGATGGTGGTGCCACTTGAAGAACATTTTGCTCCGTCTTTGGATGGCTCCCCAACACCTTGTCATCATCTTTTTCTTTATTCCGTGCATCATTACCTTGAAGATCCTTATCAGTCAAACTTTGTTCGGCTACTTGCTCTTGTGCTTGAGGCTTGTCAATTTCTACGGCACGGAACTCATAGGGCAGGAAGTAGGTTCTCTTGACTTCAGAAAAATCAAGCACGGTCGTTTTGCTATGCTTGCGATGCCCTTTCTCAATAATGTTTGCCGCTTTGGGTTTGATGGATTCAGAATATAAACTACTTGATTCGGCTTTTTCAACCGAAGCACCTTCATGTTTCGAATCATCCTTCTTTTCGTTGATTCTACCAATTGGCAATGCTTCTTTTATTTGAGCCAATTCCTTCTCTATTTGTTTATGGTGGCGAGCGGCAAAATTGGCTTGAAGTTTTTTCTTAATTTCAGCCCACTTCGGATATGATTGCCCCCCAATGCTTTTAGATTTTTTCGGCAATGACACACGGGTGTTGCCGAAATTTTGCAATAGTGTAGGGGGTGTATAATATGATATAGTACTAGGTGAAGGCATATGCATTGTTGTAAAACCATTTTTTTGCTCGCCAATTTTATCAATTGGCAAAAATTCATCTTCTTGCAAAACTCTAGATTTTATTGCAGCATAATCAGAAAATAGCCCTTTTTCATGTTGTTCAAGGTAAATAGCACTAATCCTCTTATTTTGGGCTAAACTCTTCAATGCAGCCACCACTACCTCCTCTTCTATAATATTGGGCACGACCGCTCCTGTAAAATTTACATTTATTCGACTATGACCAGGAAGGTGTGAAGCCGAATTATGAACATCTACAGTTCTGTATGGTGCTGAAAAATTACTAACATGAGGTGTAGCATATGATGGTTGAGAATAACTTGCCGAATAGCTAGTAGTAGCATGGCCAATTTTCTCATTCATCAGCATGGTTGGATTCACATATTGCAAATTAGTTGCCGATGAATAAAAAGGTGAAACACTTTCTTGTATGCTATTGGAAATTTTAACATGAGGTGTTTCAAGTTGATTAACCAAACCCATCATGTTGTTCATCGGCATATGGATTTGTGGGGTTGCCTATGCATGAGAGTTTGGATACATATGTTGTATGTTGCTAAAATCATAAGAATTTGAAGCATGAAGATTGTTTTGCATCGGCCCTTGCGCATAATTAGATGCATGATTGATAAAACTAGCTAGCCGATACATTATGCTCATTAGATGATCTAGCAACAATATATGCATTATTTGCATCTATATATGTGAATTGGGTATTCATATTACCTTTGTAGATTACAAGCCCTAGATGACGATCTCTTGTAGCAAGAACAGGACGGAGACCGTTCAAGGCTTCGTCCCCAGTGGAGTCGCCAAAAAGTGTGTTCGCACACAAACACGTCACTGTGTACCCTCGACGCCGGGGGTGATACACCGCAGCTCACGTCGAAGGAGACCCACCGGAAGCGCGGTACGCAAGACAATCCGGCGGGCGCTTTTGTAGACCCGAAACCCCACACGCCCGGGAGGGACCCCGTCAGGGCGCGCGACGGCTATGGGCTGCCCTAGGTCGGCCTGACCGCCCCTAGGGCCTCGAGGTTCGCCGCCCTGCAATGAATAAGAACGAACGAAGAACGAGAAAGAAGAAGAACAAGGGAGAAGGAAAAGTAAAGGTAAAAGATGTAGATAGATTTGCTCGATTGTGTGTTGTTCAATCGGCCGTCACCTCTCATCTATTTATGAGGCGGCTGGACTTCCCGTACAAAAAAAGGACTAAAAAGTCCATCCAAAACGTCAAAAACCCTAACCTAACCCGGACAGGAATTTTTGGCAATTTCTCGGACCAACTTGGTCTCACCGATTGGTTCATTTCGGTCCTACCGAGTCAACATTGCCAACTCTCTGATAAATTTTCGGACCAACTCGGTCTCACCGAACAAATCAACCCGGTCGGTCCGAAATGACTCTGTAGCTTCTGTTTCTGACCTTGTTTTGCCTCCACAGGTTGCATACGACCTCGGATTAAGACGATTTTTATATCAAAAATCGCCCGTTTCAATGAGACAAAGAACTTTGTAGTTGTAACTTTTTCCATCCGATGCCTTCTTAATTAGGTTCCATGCCATTCTTTAATCAGGTGTCAACACGGGTATTTCCGAAATTGTCATATCTTTCGCACTTGAGCTCCGTTTGATCCATCTTCATATTTATTTTGATTATCTTGACGAGGGCCATCAAATGGTGACATGAACTCATAATTTTAACCTCATTTCATTATAGACTCAAGTCACTCTTTGCGGTCATGCCATTTTTGAGTGTCAACAGTGGCACCCCTCTTGTAAAGCCACCCGAGAAGGCCCCACTTACTACACTCAGCTACTTCAAACTTCTCTTCCATCTTGGCGGTGCCGGTGCCCAGCGAAAGGATCATGAACTTTCCGTAGTCTGCAGACTTGACAGGGAAGTAGTCCGGGTTTCCCATCAGGATTTGCTTGCTTACGTGGGTCATTGCCAGCAGCGTCTGCGCATGCACGTCCATGTAAGTTAGTGAGGCGCACATCAGCATCACATAAAACAACTAGTACAGATCATATAAGCCTAATATAGCTTTAGCAAGACGCCATCAAGGTTAGCAGGAGTTACCGGATTGTTAGCGACGACGCCTCCATCGATGAGGTTGAAAGCCCGGGTCTTGCCATCTTTGTCCTTGGTCTCGAAATGGTGGCCAGGTAGGTAGGTCGGCGCTGCGGACGTGCTTATGCAGACGTCCGACAGAAGAGCGTTCTTGGAGACATCCCTCATGGCCTATAAAAGATTTCCTTATTACTCTAGGTTTCCTTTCTTGTAATTCAACTCTATTGCATGAATCAACTTGTTCCTCTAACATGGATGCACATGAATATTTTTTTCTGCTCTTCTACACACGTACGTCATAGGTGGAGAAGATTGTAGGCTGGTGCAGCTTCATATCGAAGGTGAGGATGACGATGTTCTTGAGCGTCTGATCGACTCGCGTGTCGCCAAGCAGTTCCTTGACGACCTTGTGCAGGTGCCGGCCGTTGTACTTGGGTCCCAACATGCTCTTGAGCCAGCCCAGAGGTCCTTTGCTGCACGACAGAGTACATAGTTCATGAGTACTCTCGTTTGAGATTGATTCCGGGACTGGAGTCATATATGTAATCCTCACCAGACGGCAGGGAAGATATTCGGGCAGTGCTCGAGGTAGAACTTGTTGACGTCCTTGGCGGCGAAGAGCGGGCGGCCCTGGGCGTTGGGCGCGGTGAGCATGGCGGCAACCAGGCCTCCGGTGCTCGTCCCGGCGACCACGTCGAAGTAGTCCGCAATCCTCGCGTCCGGCCCATCAAGCTCGTACGCACACCCAAGAATTCATTGCCGATTTGTACTTATAGTGGATACTTCCTCCGTTCGGAATTACTCGTTCAAGAAATGAATGTATTTAGATATATTTTAGTTGTAGATACATTCATTTTTGTGACAAGTAACTCTGAACGGAGCGAGTAGGGGCAAGTGCAAGCAGGATGATTGCCTAAATTATATGGAAAACTTAGCTAGTCACCTGTAGCTTTTCTTCGAGGAAAGCGAGGATGGTGCCTGTAAGACAATAGGCTTTGGGGGGGAACCGGGACAACCCTCTAGGGGTGGCCTATCACATATATATATAATGAGGTGGTATACAACGTTACAATATACACATGTAAATACAGTCTAACACCCTCCCTCAATCTTAGCCACTTTCTAATGAATCTAGAAGGGTAAGATTGCGCCTGCAAGTCTCAAACTGTGGCAAAGGCAATGGCTTGGTGAAGATGTCAGCAAGTTGATCCTTGGAAGAAATAAACTTGATCTGTAGTTGCTTCTGAGAGACACGTTCACGCACAAAGTGATAGTCAACTTCAATGTGTTTCGTTCGGGCATGGAATACCGGATTTGCAGAAAGGTATGTAGCACCGATGTATCACACCAAAGAACAGGAGGCTGTGATTGGGGTATACTTAACTCCTGAAGCAAGGACTGTACCCAGATGATCTCTGATGTGGCATTGGCCACAGCCTTATACTCAGCCTCAGTACTGCTACGCGAGACAGTAGCCTGTTTCCGAGCACTCCAGGCAATCAGGTTAGAGCCAAAGAAGACAGCATAACCCCCCGTGGATCGCCTATCATCCGGATTGCCAGCCCAGTCTGCATCAGAATAGGCTGAAAGACAACCAGAGTCAGACGGCCGAATATGCAAACCATGAGCCACTGTGAAACGAATATAGCGCAAAATCCGCTTAACAGCAGACCAATGAGTGTCACGGGGTGACTGCAGATACTGGCAGACTCGGTTAACAGCATAGGAAATGTCTGGTCGCGTGATCGTCAAGTACTGGAGCCCACCAACAATACTCCTGTACTCTGTCGCATCAGAAGAAGAAAGAAGCACACCATCAACAGCATTGAGCTTATCAGTGGTAGACATGGGTGTAGTCGTCGGTTTGCACTTAAGCATCCCAGCTCGCTGCAACAAATCCAGAGAGTACTTCTTCTGCGTCATAACAAGGCCAGCATCACGAGAAGTAACCTCCACACCAAGAAAGTAATGAAGCTTCCCAAGGTCCTTGACCGCAAAATCAGCACCAAGTGAGCGAACAAGCGCAGTAGCAGCCGACTGAGAGGAGCTGACCAAAATGATATCATCTACATAGACCAACAAGTACATAGTAACCTCAGGCCTTTGAAGAAGAAACAATGAGGAGTCAGCAGTTGATGATGCAAAACCATGAGCATGAAGAGCCATTGCAAGACGAGCATGCCAAGCACGAGGAGCCTGCTTCAGACCATAAATTGCCTTGGACAGACGACAGAGATGATCAGGGCGATCCGGATCAGAGAAACCCGGAGGCTGGCGCATGTAAACCTCCTCCGCCAAGACACCATGAAGAAAAGCATTTTGAACATCAAGCTGACGAAGAAACCAACCTCGAGTAACAGCCAGAGAGAGAAGAAGTCTGATGGTAGTAGGCTTGACCACTGGACTGAAGGTGTCTTCATAGTCAAGTCCAAAACGCTGTCGAAAACCACGAGCAACCAGACGAGCCTTATAGCGCTCAATGGACCCATCAGAATGCCTCTTCACTTTGAAAACCCATTTGGAATCAATGACATTTACCCGTGATTGTGGAGGAACAAGAGTCCATGTCTGATTCCGAAGAAGCGCTTGATACTCCTGCTCCATGGCCTCTCTCCAATGAGGAATGCGCATAGCAGCTTGATACGTGCGTGGCTCAGAGGATGGATCTGCGAGAGCAGCAGACATGCACGCCGCTAACCAAGCAACTGTGCCATCATGACGTTGCTTAGGCTGAAAAATGCCACTCCGACTGCGCGTATGTGGACGTAGAGCAGCAGCAGGAGCCGGCGGAGGCGAAGGTGACGGAGACGTGACGGTCGCCGGAGATGCAGGAATCACCTCAGGCGAGCTCGGGACAGACGACTCCGGGCTGCATGGCGAAGACTGGCCCGACGACAGGGGCTCAGAGGCCATGGGCGAACCGAGAGTGGGCGAGGCCAGCTCCGGTGACACCGGCCCAGACGGCCTTGGCGAGGCGAGAGCAGGCGAGGCCGGCCCTGGTGAGAAGGGCCCAGACACCCTGGGCGAGGCAGGGGCGGGCGAGGCCAGGCCTGGTGATGACTGCCCCGACGCCCTGGGCGAGACGGGGACCGAGGAGGCCGGCCCAGTCGGCGGGGTTGCAGGGCGCGACAATGGCGAAGGCAGCCCAGAAGCCAGAGGCGACCGGGCCAGGACGTCGATCGGCCGTGCATGAGCACGGAAACCGAGGCCATGCAGGGGCGCCATGTGCTCCTCATGCACAACAGAAGGTGCCGAGGATGAAGGCGATGGCGACGAAGAGGAAGATGGCACTTCCAGAATCTCCAAACGAGCCCCACGACCAGTGCCTGCACCATGGTTAGGAAACAATAGAGGAGAATATGCAACATCATCAAATTGGTCAGAAGCAACAGAGGATGAATGCATGACAGGTGGCTCGGTAGTGGACACAGGGAGTTTGGCAAAGGGAAAAACATGCTCATCAAACACAACATCCCGAGAGATGTAGACACGATTAGTGGGCACATGAAGACATTTGTATCCTTTATGAAGAGAGCTATAACCAAGAAAAACACACTTCTTGGAACGAAACTCGAGCTTACGCTTGTTATATGGACGGAGATGGGGCCAGCAAGCACACCCAAACACCTTGAGAAAGGTGTAGTCCGGTTGTTCATTAAGGAGAACTTCAATGGGAGTCTTCATATTCAAAACACGAGTGGGAGTACGATTGATGAGAAAACATGCAGTGGTGAAAGCATCACTCCAAAAACGAAACGGAATAGATGCATGGGCCAAAAGAGTCAGACCAGCTTCAACAATGTGACGATGCTTACGTTCTACTGAACCATTCTGCTGATGTGTATGTGGACATGCTAAACGGCGAGTGATCCCAAGCGACTGAAAGAAGGAGTTGAGGTTGCGATACTCGCCACCCCAGTCCGACTGAACATGAACAATTTTGTACTTGAGAAGGCGTTCAACATGTTTTTGGAACTGAATAAAAATGTCAAACACATCAGATTTACGTTTGATAAGATAAAGCCAGGTAAAGCGGCTGTAAGCATCAACAAAACTGATATAGTAATTATGACCACTAACAGAAGTCTGAGCAGGACCCCATACATCTGAAAACACAAGTTCTAAAGGATGTTTCACCTCACGACTGGACTCCGAAAAAGGAAGTTGATGACTCTTCCCCTGCTGACAAGCATCACACACTGCTACATCTTTATTACTAGACACACTAGGAAGCTCATGACGACGCAAAACATGCCGGACAATAGGTGTGGCCGGGTGACCAAGACGAGCATGCCACTGTGACGGAGATACCCGAACTCCACTGAAGACGTGAGCGACGCCAGGATGGTCCAGACGATAGAGACCTTGGCAGAGCCGCCCACTAAGAAGAATGTCCCTCGTGCCCCGATCCTTAATAAAAAGATCAAAATGATGAAATTCACAAAGCACATTATTATCACGAGTGAGTTTAGGAACTGAAAGAAGATTACGTGTCACAGATGGAACTCGAAGAACATTGCGAAGTTGAAGACTCCTATTGGCATGTCTAGTGAGAAGTGATGCTTGACCAATATGAGAGATGTGCATACCTGCTCCGTTGGCGGTGTGGATCTTGTCGGAGCCATGGTAGGGTTCACGAGTGTGAAGCTTCCCCATCTCACTGGTCAGGTGCTCTGTCGCCCCAGAGTCCATGTACCAGTGGGGATCAATGGAGTAGGACTGAGTGTGTCCCTGTGGCTTCTGCGGCGGCGGACGATCAGCCATGGCGACCTGACGAGCAAAGTTGCGTGTATCCTTCCTGTCATTGCCGAGACCAAGAAAACCCCGCTGGAAGCGCTTGTGACACTTCGAGGCCTAGTGCCCATCGCGACCACAAAGCTGGCACACACGTGGACCGCCAGCCCCTGGTAGCGTCGCAGTAGGAGGAGGGGCCGAGGCGGGTGGTGGTGACTGCCCCGAAGGAGCCCTGGATGAAGCAGAGGAGCGACCACCCTTGGTGGCGGCGTTTGCCGAGAGGGCGCCGTTGCCCCTGGATCGGCGCGTCTCGACTCGTTGCTCAGTAAGCAGGAGGCGTGAAAAGACCTCGTGTGCTGGCATGGGCGTGGAGTTGCCCCTCTCATTGATGATCTCGACTAGGGCGTCATACTCCTCATCAAGACCATTGACAATAAACGAGTTGAACTCGGAGTCGGTGAGGGGCTGTCCAATGGAGGCCAGCGTGTCGGCGAGACTCTTGACTTTGTTGTAGAACTCAGTGGCGGTGGAGTCAAGCTTCTGACACTCCCCAAGTTGGCGACGGAGCCCAGATACACGAGCCTGCGACTGTGCCGCAAACGAGCGCTCAAGAATAGTCCATGCCTCGTGGGACGTCTTGGCGAAGACAACAAGCCCAGCTACGGCCGGAGAGAGCGACCCCTGGATGGAGGAGAGGTTCGCCTGATCCTGCCCTGTCCAGACACGGTGAGCCGGATTATAGACCGGACTGTGCACGCTGTCAACCAGCGCAGGAGGGCAAAGGAGAGAGCCGTCGACATAGCCAAGCAGATACTGACTCCCAAGAAGCGGAAGAACCTGCGCGCGCTAGAAGATGTAATTGTCCGACGACAACTTGATGGTGATGAGATGGCCGAAGTGAAACGGCGGCGGTGGCTGCGATCCCATCGAGGAGACTGGCTGAGGTGAGACCACCGTGGAGACAGTCAGAGGGGCAGCCGGCGCGGTGACAGAGGGCGCGATGGCCGCGGTTGACGCCGCGAAGCCTGCCAGCGCGACGTCCTCCGCCACCAGCGGCGCAGTGGCCGAGGGCGCGACAGCCGCGGTTGACGGGGCGGCGGCGGTGTGGGCCACAAGCGCCTGCCCGGGCGAAGTAGCAGCTGGCGGGAGCGCGAAGAGGGAGCCGACGCTCTGTGTCCCGATCGGCGCCTGAAGGGAGGCGGCATCCAGCGGCCTCGAGAGAAGTGCCGTGAGGGAGGCCGGCAGAAAACCGGTGGCGGTGGAGCCGGACGCTGCGGCGGACGTCATAGCAGTCGGGCGACGGCGACGGCGGGCGCGGCGGCGGCGGCGGTGGCGGCGGCGGCGGCGGCGGCGGCGGCGGCGGTTTAGGGTTTTTAGGCGGAAACGGACGTAACCTAGCGTGATACCATGTAAGACAATAGGCTTTGGGGGGAAACCGAGACAACCCTCTAGGGGTGGCCTATCACATATATATATATATATATATAATGAGGTGGTATACAACGTTACAATATACACATGTAAATACAGTCTAACAGTGCCGGGATGATCCCGCGGACGCCGCCGCCGTCGATGCTGAGCACAGTGATGATGCTCCCGTAGCGCGGCTGCGGGGTGGCGGGCGACGTCAGCGACCACGCGCGGCTGTTGAGCCCACGCCGCGGCACGTTCACTGGCCGGCCCAGTGCTCTGCCCCGGCGCTTGCATGATCGGCATGGTCCCGCTCCGACCTAGGAAGACCGGATATCCCTTGACCCTTGTTGGCTTTACAAAAGGTTTCTGGATGTTGCATCTGCAGCCCGGATGGTGCAGTAGCTTTAAATGGTTGGATGGATGCGCTCAAGCCTCACGGACTTGTTCAAAAGGAAAAAACGCTCACGGACACAGTATGAGTCGTGCTCTCCGGTGGCAAATTTGACTATTTTAACCTGTGAAAGAAATTAATTCACAGAATGAACTGGGTGTAAAACTATTTCACATCTATGACCCTTTTGTGTAGCGCCCGCGACGCCGGCGCCACACCCTACGGTGCAGCGTCTAGCCGGCGGACGTTGCACGGCAGTCCACCGTGGTAGCCCTGGACCCCGCACCCAGCTGTGCAACGCCTAGCCGCCGGGCGCCACACTTTTAATGTGCAGCGCCTAGCGCTTGGACGCTGCACTGTGACTTATCCGGCTGCCCCCCCCTCCCCCACTCCCCCACACCACACACTCTCCCACCCCCAACCCGAGCTTTGCCCCCTCTCCCACTCTCCCCCTCTCAAATCCTCTCCCAAAACTTGCAAATCTGAAGAATTTGTCCGTGGATTTCGAAGTCAAACCCTCCCTCAAGGTAATCTTCTTTGATCCCCTTCTTTTGATCCAAGTAATGTTATCAAATTGTTCATTTGTTGCTAGTTTGGGGAAACCCTAGTTTTGTTTGGATCTAGAGATTTGCATGGAGATGTGAGATGTTTGTTTGCCATTTTCCTATGATTAGGCTTTGTTAGTATGTTAGGGTTATTCTTATGGGTGTTCTTATGTTGGTGCTAGGGTTAGGTTTAGGGCTAGGGTTATGGTTTTGGTTATGGTTATGGTTAGAGTTAGGGTTGTTGTTTCATATATATATATATATTAGGGTTTGTATCCTTGGATTAGTACTCATGGAAGCAATGTTACCTTGTGTTCTTTGAATGCTTATAGGGATGGAAAGAACATGTGTGTTTGTTCATCATGGGGACAAAGACGCCTTCTTGAAAGGCAATATTGAACCGGACCCGGATGAGCTTGACATGGTGTTTGATAGTAGTCCTAGCTATGCGGAGCTCTTGCAACAAGTTAGTAAAGATTTGAATTGGATGGACCCTAGTGATATCGTTGAGTTGGAAGGAAGGCATAATGTTGGTTTTGGAATGCACATCCGTTGGAAGACAATGCGTGTCAACTCGGAGCAACGTTGGGTTGCATACAAGGAGACGGTGGCCAAATCACTAGACAAGGCTCTTGAGTTATTTGCAACGAAGAAGGTTGATTCAAGGTTGCATTTGGACTTGAACCGGAGCCCTTCCCCTTTGGTTGCTAGTAGCCCCCCACCCTTGAAGCGAGATGAAATTGTTGAACCTCTTTTGACCCAAGAAGTGAGGCCAACATTGAGCCCGTTTACAAGCAACCACCATGAAGCTTTGCAAGAGGAGAATGATGAGTATGCGGACGATGACAATGAAGTTGATCTCCATGACAACAATGTGACAAATATCATTTGCAAGAGACAATGGACCATTCCATCCCTTTTTCCCGTGCATATGCATCGGACTCGGATGACGATGGTCCCGACGAACAAGTTGATGCGGAGGGGTTCACGGTGAAGGAGGCCGAAGCTTTCGAGAAGGTACTCGGTCGTGATCATCGGACTACATTGTTCAAGGATGTTAGTCTCGCGGATGAAGCCGTGGTAGATGGTGGCCAATGTATATCTGTTGGGGTTAGGCCAAGCTCTCACCGTGATTTGGGAGATGACAAGAACCGGATTGCAAAAGGGTCTAAGTTCGAAACATTCTTGGAATTGAAGATGTGGCTCGACAACTACTCGGTTACGCATTATCGTCCACACAAGGTGGTGCACTCGGACGTCAATGTGCGCTACACGGTTGCATGTGCATGTGAATATGAAATATGTCCGTGGATTGTGCATGCAAGACCATGGAAAGGAGGTCCCACTTGGCACGTAGTGAGTTGTGTGCCAACTCACATGTGCTAAGGCAAAAGGGTGGATGGCAAGATTGTGTCCTAAAACCACAAACAACTCACGTCCGAGTTCATCGCTTACAGGCTCTCCAACTCAATATCCACACTTCCAACAATGAGCGTCCAACATGTCATTGACCTTGTGAAAGCCATATTTCATTACAAGGTGAAGTACGGCAAGGCATGGAAGGCGAAGCAATCCGCATTTAAGATGTTGTATGGTACTTGGGAGGAAGCATACAACCGAATCCCTAGGTTGTTGTTAGCCATGGCCGCGACAAACCCGGGCATGGTTCATGTGGTCGAGCCTCATGGGCACCAAACAACGGTTCATGAAGGAAGGAAAGTCCGAGTATCTGGCCGTGCATTTTGGGCGTTCGAGCAATGCGTGAGGGCTTTCGAACATTGTAGGCCGGTCATCGTCATTGATGGCACGTTCTTGACCGGACAATACAAGGGCACCTTGTTGGTTGCGATAGCAAGTGATGCCAATAACCGGGTGTTGCCATTGGCATTTGCTTTGGTTGAGGTGGAGAACAATGACAACTGGGAGTGGTTTTTGCGTCTTTTGAGGACGAAGGTGTTACCCGCTCAGAGGGAAATTTGTGTCATATCGGATCGGAATCAAGGTATTCTTAACGCGGTGGAGATTGACATTCCCGGGCATGCTCCGTTGCACCATCGATGGTGCATGAGGCACTTTTGTTCGAACTTCTATAGGGCATGTGGCCTTAAGGAGTTGGCCGATGATCTTCAAGATTGTTGTCTCGCTTTCTCCGACAAGCGCTTCACCACTTTGTACAACAAATTGCTTGCACACAAAAAACATGATCCTGGGGGTCAAGACTTTCTCCATAGGCACATTCAATACCGGAACAAGTGGGCACGTGCTTTTGATGAAGATGGCCGGAGATACGGTCAAATGACAAGCAATATGGCCGAATGCTTCCATAGGGTGCTCAAAGGAGCACGTGGATTACCCGTGACGGCAATAGTTCAATACACATTTGACAAGATGAATGCGTACTTTCTAAAATACTCGATGGAAACGGATGCACAGATAGCGGGTGAGAATCCATGCAAGTACAAGTACAAGTTCCCACCCAAGGTTGATGAATGGTTGGTATTTCAATCACGGAAGGCGGACTCAGAAGAAGCTATATTATATGACAATGAAGAGTGGAAGTACGAAGTGAAAGAGCCAGGAGGAACCACAAAAGATGGCCGCCAACATGGAGGTCGTGCTTTCGAGGTGTCGTTAACACAATGTGATTGCTCTTGCGGGAGGCCATTGTTGCTTCATCTTCCATGCTCACACTTGTATACCGCCGGTCGCGTTAGGAATGTAGACATCAATCACCCATGCACCGTGAGGGAGTCGGAGTTCTCAATCATGACGGTCAAGAAAACATGGGCTCCCCGCTTTCACCCATATCTTGACTAATCACAATGGCCGGAGTACCGTGGTGTTCAACTATGGCTGGATCCGGAGTTGAAGTTTGTTAAACGGGGTAGACGTCAGACAAAGCGTCTTAGAGGTGACATGGACGGATGGGGCCATGGTGGCCGCCGTGAAGCGGGCAACGACCAATTCCATGAGCCTCGTGAGAGCTCCCGTTGTGGGAGTGCAAAGGTCATGGCCACAACAAAAGAAAATGTACGAAACCAAGGAAAAGGTCCAAGAAAAATGATGCAAGTACAAGCCAACAAGGAGCTACACAAGGAAGCCAACCAAGTGGTAGCCAACAAGTGCCAAGGCAACCAAGTGGTAGCCAACAAGTGCCAAGCCAACCAAGTGTTAGCCAAAGAGGATCTAGGCAACAAAGAGGTCGGAAACTAGGACTTACAAGAGGCCATGGTGGTGGTAGAGCTCGTGGTGGTGGTGTAGGCCATGGTGGTGGTAGAGCTCGTGGTGGTGGTCTTGGCTGTGGTGATGGTCTTGGCCGTGGTGATGGTCTTGGCCGTGGTGTGAAGGAAATATGCACTAGAGGCAATAATAAAGTTATTATTTATTTCCTTATTTCATGATAAATGTTTATTATTCATGCTAGAATTGTATTAACTGGAAACATAATACATGTGTGAATACATAGACAAACATAGTGTCACTAGTATGCCTCTACTTGACTAGCTCGTTTATCAAAGATGGTTATGTTTCCTAGCCATGGACAAATGAGTTGTCATTTGATTAACGGGATCACATCATTAGAAGAATGATGTGATTGACTTGACCCATTCTGTTAGCTTAACACTTGATCGTTTAGTATATTGCTATTGCTTTCTTCATGACTTATACATGTTCCTGTAACTATGAGATTATGCAACTCCCGTTTACCGGAGGAACACTTTGGGTGCTACCAAACATCACAACGTAACTGGGTGATTATAAAGGAGTACTACAGGTGTCTTCAAAGGTACATGTTGGGTTGGCGTATTTCGAGATTAGGTTTTGTCACTCCGATTGTTGGAGAGGTATCTCTGGGCCCTCTCGGTAATGCACATCACTATAAGCCTTGCAAGCAATGTGACTAATGAGTTAGTTGCGGGATGATGCATTATGTAACGAGAAAAGAGACTCGCCGGTAACGAGATTGAACTAGGTATTGGATACCGACGATCAAATCTCGGGCAAGTAACATACCGATGACAAAGGGAACAACGTATGTTGTTATGCGGTTTGACCGATAAAGATCTTCGTAGAATATGTAGGAGCCAATATGGGCATCCAGGTTCCGCTATTGGTTATTGACCGAGAATAGTTCTAGGTCATGTCTACATAGTTCTCGAACCCGTAGGGTCCGCACGCTTAAGGTTTCGATGACAGTTATATTATGAGTTTATGAGTTTTGATGTACCGAAGGAGTTCGAAGTCCCGGATGAGATTGGGGACATGACGAGGAGTCTCGAAATGGTTGATACGTAAAGATCGATATATTGGACGACTATATTCGGACTTCGGAAAGGTTCCAAATGATTCGGGTATTTTTCGGAGTA